CCCCTTTGAGTCCACACATCCTCCTCTGAGCCCCCCAACCCTAAGAGCCCCCAACTCCAAGAGCCCCCATCCTCCTCTGAGCCCCCATCCTCCTCTGAGCCCCCAGCCCCCCCAAGACCCTCCATCCTCCCCACGACCCCCCACTGTGCCCAGCACCACATCTGTCCCCTCCTCACCTTGCCCACCAACCACCTCCAGCAGCACCAGGCACAGCAGCCCCCACAGGGCAGGGGGGCACCGGGGATCCCCACCCTGCTTCATCCCGGGGTGACCCCCAAACCAGCTCCCTAGAGCCAGGGAGTTGTGAAAAGCCTGGGAGCTGGTGGGTGCCCAGCAGCAACTTCCTCTTCCACCCGCGGTTCCTTCACACCCTCCTCCTCCTCCTCCTCCTCGGTGTGAGCTCCACTGCGCTGCTCCCACCCCCAGGGGCCCTCAGCCCGGCCCTCTGCTGGGCTGGGTGTTGGGATGGGTGCTGTTGGGATGGGTGCTGGGATGGGTGCCGGGATGGGTGCCTTGATGGGTACCAGGATGGATGCTGGGATGGGTACCAGGATGGACACCAGGATGGATGCAGGGTTGGACACCAGGATAGACTCCAGGATGGATGCCAGGATGGATACCAGGCTGGATGAAGGATTGGATGCCAGGCTGGATGCAGGGTTGGACATCAGGATGGATGCTAGGATGGGTACCAGGGTGGGTACCAGGGTGGATGAAGGGCTGGATGCCAGGATGGGTACCAGGTTGGATACCAGGCTGGATGCAGGGTTGGACACCAGGATGGATGCCAGGATGGAGGCTGGGATGGGTGCCAGAATGGAGGCTGGGATGGGTGCCAGGATGCACACCAGAATGGACACCAGGATGGGTACCAGGTTGGGTACCAGGCTGGATGCAGGGTTGGATGCTGGGATGGACACCAGGATGGACACGAGGATGGGTACCAGGATGGACACCAGGATGGGTACCAGGTTGGGTACCAGGTTAGGTACCAGGCTGGATGAAGGGTTGGCCACCAGGATGGATGCCAGGATGGGTACCAGGATGGACACCAGGATGAGTACCAGGTTGGGTACCAGGTTGGGTACCAGGCTGGATGAAGGGTTGGATGCTGGGATGGACACCAGGATGGGTGCAGGGTTGGATGCTGGGATGGACACCAGGATGGGTGCAGGGTTGGATGCTGGGTTGGGCACCAGG